TTACTCTTGAAAGGAAAAGATCTTTGGTGGTGTTTAAAAATCCTTTGAAGTGTTACCATCATTTGAGGCAAAATGTCTAGTAATTTTTATGTAACTTGGTAGCTTTCTTTATTCTGTCATTTTTACTATATCTGTGCTCTGGCTGAAGTATCCTTTAGTTAGGAAAGAAAAAAAAAAACAAATGTTTATAAGCTCCTTTTTAATGTATGTTTTGAACTGTGTTAATTCTGCAAAAATAGGTTTTGTAGCCATAGTCTTAATAGTGTGCAGGACTGGAGTTGGGATAGATGGGAGTATAATCCCTCCAAATAATGATTCTGCCTCTGAGACAGATGGTCAGCTGCATCTGGATCAATACATTTTACTGCTTCTTCCCTTCCACAAAATAAGGAGCATCTTAAAATGGCAATGACTACAAAATTGAACTTTGGGAGATGGAAACAAGAAATTGTGGTTGCAAAGGCTGGTGAACAGGTTGCAACAGAGCTGTGAACCACAGTGAAGGACTGCAGCAGATGTGTGAGAGCACTGGATTGTTCTGTCAGTTCTCTTTGGGCAAAGATGGTTCTCAGGGTAGCTCCCTTTATTATTTTTTTTTTTCTGTTCTCAGTAAGCATGAGAGAGTTATGCTCATTATCAGAATTTAGGTAGGTAATCAGAATAAAGTATTATATTATCAGGATACAGTATCAGAATTTAGAATGCAGCAGGGACAAAGCAATTTTAAGTGTCAGCAGCTTGACTAGATGGAGAGGAAGGCCATTTTTATGTTTCTTAGCAGAAGCTGCAGCTTGAAAAGATTAGGCTCTTGATTTTTAGCATTATGATAATATAAACTATTGAAACCAGCTTCAGTGCTGTGTCCTGCCAAGATGAGAAGAAGCTGCTTTTGTGAAGCCTTTCCAGGGAGATTGTGTGAGAAGAACCTCATATTATGTGGCATGTGCTAAATCTGTAGCTGGCTAAATGTGAGAAATGGGAAAAGCAGTCAAATGCTGTAGTCTGAGGTGCTTCTCTGGCCTCCTGTTTTTGCACAGGACCAATAACAGCAGGAGGGACTAGCTAAAGAAGTCAGTGACTGCTTGGAGCACACCAAATCAGGCAGTTCACAGTGACAGCAATCTGCCTGGAGATCCAGAAAACACTCTTACATACAAACTTGCTGGTGGTCCTGCCCTTTACTTGTGGCTTCCAAGTTGTGATTCTTGAAAAGAAACAAGACTTCATGTGTGTTTATTCTGGTATTACCTCATACGGTGCAACATAGCCCAAGTATGTTGCCATTAAGATGGGATTTAGATAAGTTCACCACAAAAAAAAAAAAAAAAATTATGCTGCATGACATATACCACTGTCAAGAACTCTTAAATAAAGCAGTTTTTACTGAACTTTTTGATGGACCAGTGTATTATAGGCTGTTTGTGGCAAACCTCAGATCTCCTCTACCAAAATATCAAGTATTTTCTCATTACTAATCTATGTCTAATAGATGTGGAGGCTATTCACAGTTGTCACAAGTAACTTATTGTTATGATCCAACACTGGAGATGAAATAGTAGATTATCCGTGTAGGAGCAGAAATTAACTGTTTCTTGTCTGAAGTCCTGTCAGTGTGTGATAGAATTGTCAGCTTGTAAACATACCTTATTTTTCCCTTAACAATGCAAATGATAACCATTACTATTTTTGGACTGATTATTTTGTTTTAAGAATTGTGTTAATAAGATTGTTTCTGCTCTGAAATGCTGAACCCCCTTTTCTTTCCCCTTTTGTTACACCCCCTCCAAATCCACAGTGTGTTAGTGTTTTTTACTGTTTATGAAGATCTTATCGTGCATGTATTGGCTGTTCTAAAATAGTGCTAGGGCAGTTTTTTCCATTCAGTGTCTGACTTGAGTAGAAGCATTGTTTCCTCATGAACACGAGCATGAAGAATACTACGCCTGCTTGATTTACAGCTGAGACCACAGTGGTTCTTTCTTAATATTGCCTTAGAGGGCTGTACTTGGAGCCTTCTGGAGTGAAATTCCTTTGTGCCCACACTCTGTAATATCTGTTCTCAGTGCTGCTTTATTGGGCACCCACCAGCACTGATAACCAGGAATAACCTTTCGGTTATTACATTTTGCTTGTGCCTCAAAATATTTTCCTAAGAAATATTGCACAGTGTGGAGAGACGAGACATACAGAACAAAACTCGCCTGTGTTCACAGTGTGCAGTATCTTGGAGCTGATCTGGTAACTGATAACTCAGAATACCAGTTGTGACCCATTATCTATCTCCTCCCCAGCACACAACAGGCTGAGCTATGGGCCTGTTTGGGCACTGCAGGAAAATGTGTAGCTGCCCCATGGTGGTTGGGGTTTTGGGGTGACCTTTGGGGGTCACATTGGTGATGTGTGCAGGTTTTACCAATACTTAGTCCACCATGCTCACATGATGAAGTATGTGATCCTTTCTTAGACCAGATACAAAGAGATTTCTCCACCATCTTACCAAACCTGAACTTGCAGCAAACAAGCTCCAAGCTTGTTCAAAAAAAAAAAAAAGACATTAACCACTTCATTCGCATTTCACTGTTTTAAAGACATGTTAAAGACATGAAGATAAAGATTCCTCCTCCTGTTCCTTGATCCTCCCTGACCAGTCTTCTCAGAGAGCAATTTTTGTTATTTCTTATTACAGACATGATGCGTGTTGTTGTAATAGCAGAAGATGTTATCTAACGTTGGCAAGTTTTTTTGGCCAAAGCTTAAAAATTGTTTAGATAATTTGGATGTGACTTCTTTTATGTAATGGTTTAAAATAGAGTTTGTTCCAAGTATAATGTGGTGGTTTTCTGTGAGGAATTAGAATGGGTTTTATATGAACCAGTAATAAGTGGTTGTACTGTCTCGTGCTTGATGGGAGGTTTTGGCATAGTGATGAACATGTTTATAATCTGCCCCTTGTTTTAATGCATCTTTTTTCTCTCTGTTTCCTCCCCACTTCTGAAAGAAGTCATAAAGGGATACATTAATGCTTAGAGGGATTTTTATATTTTGTTCTGCACTTCTAAGCTATTGGAGCAGGGTAGGTGGTCAGCTCATCCTCTTCTGGCATGAACCTCAGGCTTGAGTAGATGTCTTCTTAGTTCTGGTTCAGGCAGGCCAGCATTTCTGAAATGTAGCAGCATTGTAATTCTCTTTTTGGTCCTCACTGTTCTTCTTACCACTCTATATGATTATGTGCCACTACTTGATTTGGCTTGAGTGCCTGGATACAAATAATCAGCAATCAATAGATTCATCTGGTCAAAGGCTGTGCAAATCTCCCAAGAATTGCAGCCATTAGTTCTAGCCAGGAAAGCTGCAGTTCAGCAAACTGGGTACCTCCTGGTCAGGTTTCTACTTGTCCTCTGTTTAGTGTATATAATACATATACACACACACAGACACAAAATATTTTATATATATAACACATAAGGTGTCTTTTTTTTTTTTTTTAATTGTAATCTCTTCAGGAGGCAATATAATGTGCTGTTTAAGAGAGTAAACTGTTAAAGGTAATGATCTGGAAACTGATGATGATTCTGCATAACAGTGGAAGGCTTGTGCCTTACAGGATCACCAGATGTGCCTTACAGCATCACCAGATGTGTTGCAGGTGTATCTGTTTCTATGAGAATTTCATAATTCCACATCAGTGAGAGAAGCACTGTAATGAGTCTGTACTACTGACCTTGGGATAAGGTTGACATAATCTGTTTTTAAAAATCTGGTTTGTATGTTTACTGCTGATAATAAGAGCATATGGATGACACCCTTCATAACTGACAGGTTTAGAAATATTTCCTCTGAACCCTGTGCTAAGGATATATCTGGTACTAATGAATCAAGAGTAGAAAGAATTTGGTAAAATGCCTCACCCTAATCTTTATTAGTCTTTCCCTGCATACACTTAGAAGCCTTATTTGTGTCCATTCTGTTTTGTGTCTTACTTAGCAAATGTGGGTTTTGCCCTTTACCTCATTGGGATTGAATCTCTAATTGTTCAAATGTTTTCTAAGCCCTGGGATGCAGGCTGCTTCACAGTATGCTGCTTGAGCTCGTTTGTTGAATGTTGTTCAGGGTCTTTTTACTGTATCCACTCTTAATACTTGTTGCCTTGGATAAACTACTTAGAGCGCTTCTTGCTTTCTGACAAGCAAGTGTAGGAAATGTTTGAGTTTAAATGTTCTGGTGCTTGCCTGGCTTGGCAAAACAAAATTGCCTATTAAGCAAGCATATATGTGTGCTTACACGTATATTTTCAATTTATGTTTAAAGTTGAGGTTTTCTGCATTTTTGAAGTTGAGAGTTGAATTGTAAATAAGAGACATAAGTTGGCCTTTGTCCGTGGGGCTGATGTTTTCTCTATCTGTGATCCTTCCCATTTAACTGGAGAGCAGTGTTTGGGAAGAGACTTCTCTTCCCTCCTTTTCCCTGAAATGCCGATCTCCCATCCTTCTTTCTGGCAGCATCACCTTACAAAGAGTAGTAGAATAGTTTGCAGGGAAATGAATAATTTATTTCCTGAAAAATTGATCAAATGACAGCTACGTCTGAACAACAGGAAATGCTACAGCAGAGACAGTAACTTGTGGTAGAGCAGCCTGTGCTTTCAGATTAAGAAGTAAAATTTCTTGTGCATTTGAAATCTTCCAGCTCTTTTTCTACAGACCAGGTGTTTGACTTTTTTTAGGGATCTGGGGCTAATTCTTAATTATATTTACCACACTGGCTGTTAATGGTTTGCTCTCGTAAGTTTGTTTTACATTCCTTTAAATCCGAGATGTGCATCATGCAAGGGACATAAAGGAGCAATTCAAAACTTCTGCCATGTCTTTCTGTTTATTTTTCTGTTTACACAAGTAAGATGGGGTTTTTTTTTGTTTTCTTTTTTTTTACAAGATTAGTTTCACATGCCCACTTTGCTCTGTCAGTCACCCAAAATACAAACTTTTTTTGTCTTTTCAAAGGAGCCCTTTGAGGATGGCTACGCAAATGGTGAGGAAGGCACACCAGCTGGGGATGCAGCTGCTGCTTACACACCTGACAGCAAAGGGGTAGTCAAGTTTGGCTGGATAAAAGGTGTGCTGGTAAGTTTTGGCATATGGCTCTTCAGTTTTTTTACAGGTGCTGATCTATTCTTACAAATCTTTCCAACCACCTCCTTTGTTGACAGGCATTGTGATAGTGTAGTATAAAGATTACGTGTGTTAGAGGTGGGATAAATGCCATAATTTTATGAAGGGTTGCTCCTATTTCAACTGAGTTCTAAGTCAATAAATACTTCAGGGCTTTAAGTTCTTAAGGGCTTACGGTTTCTTACCGCAGGTTTTAGGAGTTTTTACATTGCATGATTTCCAGGAAGGAAAAATATACTGTAGTAGAAAAATGCATGCTGTACTTCTGTGGTTTGGAGAGGTTATCTCCTTTTTTGTAGGATTGATATATTACTCTTTAGGGAAGAGAGAGACCCAAGATCTGTTTTTAGTCTCCTGTCTTAATTCTGAACAAAGCAATCTATTTTTATTGAGACCTAAGAGTTGTAAATACTAGAATTAAAAAAAAAAATGCACACCTCTCCATCCTGTTATTGTGCAGATGTGTTTCGAGATACAAAGGTTACAGAAATGCAAACTTGAAGTAGGGCTTTTGTTCTTTTAAGAAGAGTAAGTTATTTAGTAGGGTGTTGCTTTAGTGCATTTTTTTTTTTTTTTGAGAGACAGAGAGAGGCTTGTGGGACATGCAAACTGGGGTTTTTGACCTCACAATCATTATAGACTTCTGTCTTATTTTAAGTCATTTTTTCTGTAGTGTGAATTTTGGATCCTAAGGTTAAGGTCTAAATTATTATTATTGTTTGCTTATGGCATACTGCAAGTGTCAGATGTTGAACTACTCTTAACTCTGTGTTTAAGGTAGTAACTTTTTAATCATATTTAAGTCCCTTTTTTTTTAACCAAACTTAAACTTTTATGATAACATCATATTCTTGTGAAATAATTTTAAATGTGGTGAGGAAATGCAGCAAGATAATTTCAAGAACAGTAAAAACTGAAAGGAAGAATTAATGTAAATTACTGCAGATACAAGAACTAATCCATGTTATATTTCTGCTTTATCCTAGGTACGATGTATGTTAAATATTTGGGGTGTGATGCTCTTCATCAGACTATCATGGATTGTAGGACAAGCTGGGATAGGTATGGATACTAATGCTGTAATTTTATTTCAGTGACTTTCAAATGTGATCCACTAGAGATGTTGATCCTGAGCTTTTACTTTAAACAGGAATAGGAAATTACCTTAATATTGCTAATTTTTATGGTAATTTATCTTATCAAAAACTTCAACCAGTTACTTAGGCTTCTTCATTTAGGTACAAGGCAAGTATTTCAAAATTGACATTTATAAATCTTCAGTGAACTGTAGAGATAAACTTTTGATCTCTAATTATTAAACCCTGCATGTAGACTGTGTAGTATATAAGCAAATCTTTTCAAAGGCTTAACCTAAGTGTTGGATTGATCTGTAGAATACAGCTCTTACCTTGCTGGTTAAAGAGAATCTTTGCCCAATTTTATTTTTATCCTTACGGGGAAAGAGGAAGCCTTTTGCTTGAAAGTAAATTTGTGTGCTACTTGCAAGACTTGAGTATTTAAATGAAATTAAGTTGAAGGCTTGTACTCTTTAATACTGCAGGGCTTACAGTGTTTTCATCTCTTTTCCCAAAAGGTCTCTCTGTCTTGGTTATTGGAATGGCCACTGTTGTGACAACTATTACAGGACTGTCTACTTCAGCAATAGCCACAAATGGGTTTGTAAGAGGAGGTAATGCTATTTTCATAGTTTTTAAAGCTTTCCTCACTCTGGAGTGCACACTTGAATGTTGCTGAGGAGCAAAGCCTTCCTTGTGTCCTGTGTGTGATTAAACAGTCACGTAATTAACAAAAACTCAGTAGGGAGCCTACTAATTACATTTGAACTAGTACCTTGCTTTTGTGCTGTAAAAAAAAAAAAATTATTGGTGTAAATTTTTGTAATGCAAACATTTGTAAGGCTACATATCCAGCTATGAAAAGGATCTTAATATTCTCCTGAGCTGCACTGGTTGGTTAAGACTGTCTTCATATGTGTTCATGTCCTGAAATAAACCTTCACCCAAGTAACTCTCCAAACTCTGTTAGCTCCAGCTTTCCTGAGGGTGATGGTTTTCATTCTCTTCCATGGTTTATGTGGTGGTGTCAGCTATTTTTGGAAATGGTTGGTGCCTCTGACACGATCTGCTTGCTTCGTGACATTACCAGACTGCTACTAGGAAAAAATGTGGTGGAATTAAAGTAGGAGGTTGTAAAACTATCTTCATTAAGATTAAGAATGAAGAGAAAAGCCTCATGATCACAAAGTAAACAGACTCAATGGGAAAAATCAGCTATGAGTGTTAGCATTATGTCAAGCTTAGTTTCTGAATGCCCTTCTATTTTTTTAATTCTATTGTTTATATCAGGTTTTCCCATCTGTACATCTTCTTTTCTTTTTTTAAGTCACTCTTGAAAAATAGTTCTTCATTAGAAAATTTGAAATCCTGAATTGCAAGAACTGTAGAATTTAATAGGAACAATTGTTCCTATGAAGATGTTATATTACAGTAAGATTTTTTTAATGCTACATAAGAAATACAGAATATAGCCAAGCTGGGTACATATATAGGATTTCCACTTCCAAGAAGTCTAATGCAGTGAAATTAAGCATTTTCTGTTGCAGATTTTTAACATGCACTCAGTTATTTATTTCAGACTGGATCTGGAGGATTTTGTTGCTTCTAGAGAGCTTAACCTTAAGTTTGAGGAATAAGCCTTTGCCACATTTTCTAAACTTTACCTTTCTGTAATACTCCAGATACTCAGATTTTCATTTGTCATGTGGGATTTGTTGTTCTTGTCCAGCTCAAAAGTACAAAGAACAGGCTCTTGAGAGTCCCATTGGAGGGCAGAAAATTCATTTGACAGCAGAGCTTTTAGAAGCAGGTCTTGGAAGTTTGGAACTTTTGTGGGTTTATTGCAATCTGCTTTGCCAGTTCCTTAATCTTGACTGCACAAGTGAAACTGCTTTGAGCAGTTTGAAGTAAAAAGCCCAGCTATACTGCAGCTTGTGTTCTGCTGTTTTTTAACCATAGAATTGGTTGCATACCTAATACGCATTAATATGATGTGGTGCATCATTTATGGTTATTTCCACCTGGTCTCTTTTCCTAAGAACTTGAAATACATTGCTGAAACTTCAGCACATGTGTCCCTAAAATACTGGGTTAAGGGTTTTTTTCTAATGCATCAGGGAATGAAGAGTGAGTAGATTCTGGCTTGTGTAAATGTTAAAGTGCTGATCACTGTCTGTTATAAGCTCTATCATCTAGAGGATTTTTTTGGGTAATTTTGTAATTTGGTTTTTTTTTTGTTTTTTTTTTTTTTTTTTCTTTCAGGAGGAGCATATTACTTAATTTCCAGAAGTCTGGGGCCGGAGTTTGGTGGTGCCATAGGTCTGATTTTTGCATTTGCCAATGCTGTGGCAGTGGCAATGTATGTCGTTGGTTTTGCAGAGACTGTTGTCGAGTTACTCAAGGTACATGGAGGACAGTGCTTGTATTGATTATACTTTATCTATAAAGTTTTACACCTCATAGAGAATGTTTGACTATAAAGTGTATACTTTACATATAAAGTTAAAGATTATACTTGGTTTTTGATTCATCTGATCATAAAACAGTGTGGTTTGGAAGAGACATTTCAAGGTCACCTAGTCCATCCCCCAACCAGGCAGAATTAAGAATGGTTTGAGTTGAAAGGGACCCTAAAGACCACCCAGTGCCACCCCCTACCATGGACAGGGACACCTTTGACTATCCCAGGGTGCTCCAAGCCTCATCCAGCCTGGCCTTGGGCACTTCCAAGGATCCAGGGGCAGCCCCAGCTTCTCTGGGCACCCTGTGCCAGGGCCTTCCCACCCTCACTGCAAAATACTTCTTTTCTTCTTTAAAACCATTACTCCTTGTTCTGTCACCACAAGCCCTATCCAAAAGTCTGTTCCCATCTTTCTTTTAAGCCCCCTTTAAATATTGAGTGATGGCAGTAAGGTCTCTCTGAGCTCCCTTTTGTCCAGGCTGAACAGCCCTTATCGTTTCCATTTGGAAGAGTCATTGATTTAAAAACAAGGCAAAACCCAAATTACTTGTATCCTTAAAGGGAACTTACAATCAGTAAATTTGTGGTGTGCAGGTTAACTACTAATAAATTACAGTGAATAGAATGCTGTTGTTTTAGGGAAGGCATTTACCTGATGAAGTACATGACTGTGTATTTTTTGTTTGTTTTGTTAGGAAAATGGAACATTGATGATCGATGAGATGAACGATATCAGAATCATAGGGGCTATCACAGTGGTTATACTGCTGGGCATTTCCATTGCAGGAATGGAGTGGGAAGCAAAAGTAAGGAACTCCCATCTTTTTTTTTTTTTTTAATTCTCTGCTTCATAATTCTGATTCCATTTTTTTGTACCTTAGCTTTCTGATTTATTTTTAGTGTATTCAGTATTGCATGATTGTGTGTTAGAAGTCAGTTTAATTTTTATGCAGTAGCTCTTGGTCTGGCACAAGCATGTGCAGCTCTAAACAAAATCTTAAGATTTTCAAATCTTAAACCACTTCACTGGAAGCTTAACCATCTATGAGAACCTAAACTCCAGCATAATCCACTCTTAATGACGTTGTCAAATAGATTAATGGTATTTCCCTCTTCTGGGCAGTTGCAGCACAAGAGAAGGTAAGAACTTCAGCATGGGAATTTTCCCTTACTGTGAACTTTAGGCAAATTCTGAGGATGAAACACACAGGGCTGGCTTCCCTTCTCTTTCATTCTCTTCTGGTTTGATTTTCACAGCCAGACAGTGGGATGCATTCACAGCATAGAGAAAAGGGTGTTGAACATTGGTGGTGATGATCTGTAGGAGGGGAAACCTCAGTCTTAGGCCAGCTCTGACTGAAGAGATCTTACCAGAGAAGCTCTTCTGCCTTACCAGTGTTCTGCTTGGCATTTTGAGGCACTGTAGCTTGCTCTCTGTTTCCTGCACCTTGTAGGCTTTCTATGAATATCTATCCTTAATTTGCTCAAAAAAAATGGAGGAGAGCCTCTCAGTGGGGCTTCATTCCCAACTTACATTTATATCACAGTAGCTCCTATTTTCTTGACTGAGAGGCAGCTGAAGGAACCTCCTCATGAAGTGTTGTAAGTTTCTTGTGCTCCTTCATCAAAAGGACGATGCTATTGATAATAAAAATGAGAGGGGTTTTTTTATCATTGTTGCTTCCAAGAAATAGGGATCCTAGAAGAAGTGAGTGAAGATCGAGTGCATTGCTTAGATCTACTGGGGAGAAAAGAAACTTACAGAAATTGACTTGAGTATGAACTTCTAAATTGAACTTGTGTAGAAACTGTTTACCTTTCTCAAGTAGCCCTTCACTGTCTATAACTTGAATTTGTGATGCTCTCTATACACCCAATTGCAAACAGTGCTGACCTTCTTATTCTGAACTGTTTTGAGGGAATTATTGTTAATAATCCTCTGGGTGCTGCCACTTGAAGTCACAGGTAGTATCTTCATTTTGCTGCTTAGTATGAGCATTTATATAACAATAGTTTGCATGAAAATACCCCTGTTTAATGTTTCTACATCAAACCTGAAATGTGGTATTATGCAATTACTGCAGTGCCATCCTTATTTTAGGGGTAGCTTTCAAAAGTCCTGTTCTCAATGTAAAAGTCAAGACTTGGTTTCTCTGTCATGGAATGAGGCAAGTGGGAGCAATGATTGGCCACTGAACCTTTCAAACAAGCATTTCATGTGGGCTAACAGAACTCAGCATAGCAAAACACCAGTGTCTCCATCTTGATCTGTGGTGTTCTCCTGTGCCTTGGCCGTGTCTTAGAGAAAATGGAGCAGGGAAATCTATAATAATGCCTTTGAACCAGATGTAAAATCGAGGAGAGACTGTGATTGATTCTAGGAAGTTTGCTTTAAAAAATGTCTTTTTATAGAGTTTGTGGTGTTTACTGCTCAGCTCCTTGTGTTGAAGTCTTAGAAGCCCATTCTTTCAGACTTTGGAATTTGAGTAAGATACTCAGCAAACATCCCTAGCTTCAGGGAGAAGCCTAGTTAGTTACTGGAAAACTCCACTTGTGGCAGTTGCTCTGTGATAACTTCATGTGTTTATGTTTCTGTCTTACTGAAGACTTCTGTAAGCACCCAGCTGTATCCTCACACCTTTCGCCTATTTTTGAGGCTTTACAAAGATTTAAATAAATAAGGGCACAAACTGTTTTCCTTCAGGTGGACTTTTAAATCTGCTCCAACCCATTTTGCTGTGTTTATCACAGTCCCACCCTGTTTTCCTGAGAGGCTGTGTGAACTGAAAACTTTGTTTTGTAGGCATGAACAATGTCACAGTGATACTGCATATTAGCTCCTGATCCTAGGCCTGAAAAAGGTCTGTGAATAGCTTTCCCCAAGCTACTGGCATTCTTTCTAAGGAATGAAACCACCCAAAAGATAACAGCAGTCTGATTGCTTATTTAAATGGAGGACCTGAACCATCCTTACAGTACCTAGATTTATCTTTGTACACACTTTAGAGGTGTGGGATGGTTTAAAGTACTTCTTGTTCAACTTGTAGGGTTTATAATAGTTCTGCCGAAAAGTGACTAAAAATCTAGGTTGTAATAAAAGAAGTGTCAAAATTAGGAATTAACAAGTAATGGTTGCAGTTTGCAGTTTAATTTCCTTAGTAAGGATTGAGAACATGGGAATGTAGCAAAGTAAACTATTTCCTTGCATAAAATAGGAAACAAGAGCTGTTTCATTCTGGATGTGTTAAAATTTTTAGAAAATACCACATACTAAAGTATAAGACAAAGGATGACCATGGCTAATAAAGTAGTAGCATTTGTGTTGCATTTGGCCATTTTCATGTAAATTTCTTGAATCTCCTCAAATGCATTCCTTCTGGAAGGCTTATATATAGAGAAATTAGTTCTTTTAAGCATTTTGTGTCTAGAAGTATAATTTGAGGCATTTAGTCATAATAAGCCTTTTTGATTAGGCATAAAACTTGGAAATTATTCCTATTTCGTAATTAAAAATCCTTGTACAAGTTCTCTCCAGCTTTCCTCATTTTTTTGCAGAGAACATGCTGAGAAGGTGAAGCTGAATTTGGAATCAAGTAAACATTTACATTTTATAGCACAGCACTTGATACTATGAAAAGAACAAGTTCTCCTGTCTGACAGCAGTCATTGTGTTTCAGGCACAGATAGTCCTGCTGGTGATCCTCATTCTTGCTATTGGAGACTTTGTCATAGGAACATTTATTCCTCTGGAGAGCAAGAAGCCCAAAGGTTTCTTTGGTTACAATGGTATGTTGGAACAGTTTACAGTATGGTAAACAATTCCTTCCTTTGCAAAATAAGCTGCTATTATTAAATGAAACATCTAGTGTATCTTACAGTCCTTTTTAACTGTGGAGACTTTTCCTGGTTTCTTGTAACTTCTGCAGCTGGGTCAAAACTTGAGTATTGCTTAATATTGAATATATATTAAATTTTAAAAAGCTGGATTATACTGTAAGTATTTTTTACATTTAACGTTTAAATCTGCTTAAGTTTACTGTCTTGACTTTGAGTTGAAGTGATGAATTAGGGCTTAAATGTTCTACATTTAGTTTTAAGAAGGTCCAGTGACTGTCAGCTTTTTTACTGGTCTGATAGTGGCTGGAATGGGTTCATACTTCAGCTTCCATGTGAATATTGACAGACTCAAATCTTCCTCTGCAGCCGACATATTCATGGAGAATTTTGGGCCAGATTTCCGACAAGAGGAAACTTTCTTTTCTGTGTTTGCTATTTTCTTCCCTGCTGCAACTGGCATACTTGCTGGTGCAAATATCTCGGGGGACCTTGCGGTAAGTAGCGAATTAAACACATTTTTCATGACCACTCAAGTGTGCACTGACCTCTGTCATCACTGTCCACTGACGTTTTTCTTTCAGGATCCTCAGTCAGCCATACCTAAAGGAACGCTGTTGGCCATCTTAATCACTACATTGGTTTATGCAGGAATTGCAGTATCTGTAGGTAAATAGAGAATGTTTTTAACTTTATCCTTTCACGTTCGTTCCGAGGATGTGTTTTGATTTGGTTTTATGTAATTTGTTATGCAAAGTCGTTATGTAATTGACTTTCCTGCACAGGAAAGTAATAGCCAAAGGTTTGTTGTTTTTGCTGTTGGGAGATTCAGTTTTCAGCTGGTTTTATAATTTCGTGAAGTAACTGATGCTTTTCTAAGAAAAGTGACTGCTTCACACTAAAGATGACAGAAGACTTCTATCAGTGTTGCCCCATTGTTGCAGTTATTTACATTAAAGGATTTACAGAGTTTAGCAGTGGGATAATCCCTGGATTAGAAAAGCAGGTTTTCAGGAAATACCCACTGAAAAAACACCTGTATTGTTTTGAGGATTATGGTAATCAGCCACATACCTGCAGGGAGCTGTGGGATGATCAGAGAGCACTGTGGTGAGGATGTTTGAGCAGTAATTCCCCAGCTGAGGGAGGAGACCAAGAAAGGCCTTCAGTTCTCATCAGCCCACTTTTGGAAGTGTTATGTTCTTCTGAAAAGAGGAGAAATAATTACAGACTGATCTGAGTCTTCTCTTCCCAGTCTTTCCCACCCCAGAGTTATTTGAAATTCTCTGTAGAAGTCACCCTGGGGTTGATACCAGTCTTGCTGTAGAGCACCAGTGGTTTACTGTGTTTTCCCCACATATAAAATAATTCTAGTAATCTTAAGATTACAGGATTGTAATTGAATCATGCACGTTTCTTGCCTGTGATTGGAAACATTTTTTAGTCATGTCACATAAACTAGTTTCTGACAGCAATAATAATTTTTCTTTCATGAAAGACCTTGTTTTATAATAGCTGTGGTGCCTTTTGAATGAAATTCCCATTTCTAAGAGGACCATTGATCTTACCACTAATGATACTTCCTTTCCAAAGATACCAATCTTGCTAGTCTGCCTCTGTTGGCTAACGTGGGAGTGTAGCTCTGCCAAATAGTAGCTCTGTAGTGATTGTGCTTTATGCAGCATAATGAGCTACACTCATTTCCTAATTAGATTGACTGCTTAGACCTCTTGCTACCAAATTTGAATCCTTTGGAACCTCAACCCACACAAGACTAAAATTATTGTTAATACTCGCTTATTAATGGAATACTTTGATCAGCTTCCAAACATGAAAAATGCAGTATAAAAACTGACAAAAGAAGCAGTTTGCAAAACCAACTGGACGTGAAATTGATTCATCAGAAACGTTCTGCCGTGTACTGACTTATGCTTTGAATTCTGCTCGTTAGAAAAAGGCAGCAGGAGTCAGAGATCATGAGTGAAATTTAGCTCCTTTTGAGGCATTGGATTAGGAGTACTGGACACACAAAAATACTTTGATTCCTTTCCCAGAGGAGTGGTGTAAGCAAGTCACTAAAGATGTGAAGGGGCTAGTGAGTGCTGCAGAGTACTCATATCTGAAGAGGAGGAAGATACTCTGAACTTAACTCACTATTTGTATGCTCTGTAGTAAGTAAGAAGGCTAAACTGAGTAGAAAAAGAAGGAAAACTACTGATCCTGCTGCTTAGACCTAGGCAGCTATTTCAGAAGGGTAACTGAGACATTGGTATGCATAATTCAGTTTCATAATTCAGCAAAGGACTGCGGCAGACAAGCAGGTGGCATGAGGAGGCAGATTTCACAGGCAAATTTGCTTAAAGAATCTTGGAAGATAGATTTCAAAGAAGTACATTTACTGCTTTAAGAACAAGGGAAGCTAACAAAAAAAAAAAAAAGGCCAGAGTTCTGAGTAGCATTATGACCTGCTTCCTGTAGTTGTGAAAGTAAAACTAATTCACAAGAGCCAAACTGTAAGTGTTTGCAGCACTAGTAAAATTAAACACTCTGAACTGCACTCTGAAGGGCTGTAGTACGTCTGGAATTCATATATTAGGGAGATAACTTGATAGAGATGGCTGTAAACTTTCTCATGCTTAAAGCCTGGCAAAGCTCTATTTCACTTTGGCAGGAACATGCTTGTAAATGCCTGTGAAAAGGTGAAATCTTATTTTCACAGGAGGGAAGGTCTAAAGACTTCTAGGGAAAATGCTGCCAGAATAATATAAATAAATAAAACTTTTCTGAATGAATGTTAAAGAAAGTAACATTTATTATTGTTACTTTTATCTAAGTGTCTTCTGCTGAGACCAGAGCAAGCCTGCTGTTCTACATTCTCTCTCAGTAAGGCCCACATTAAGTTTGTTCCTACTGCCATGTCTCTTTCTGCCATATTTTGACTGCATGTCTGAAAGTCCTGCCAAAGCTGAGTTTGAACTTTGACAAGGTGAGGAAGAGGAGGGCTGTGATAGTGCACTGTAGGTATTTAATGAGTTGCTCAGTATAAATGGCCTGACACTGCAATCTTGTCACCAACAAAATGTTGTTTACAAATAGTTCAGCTGAGAAGTGTGTTGTCAAATCCATTATATACTGCTTGAGTGGCTGGGGCTAATACTTGAATAGTGAAGAAAGAAAATTATTTTCCTCTTAACAGAGCTCTTACTCCCAGTTAAACAGGAAAACAATTTAAAAAACCTCAGCTCCTCCACATACTCACAAGAAAAGCATAAGACAGGTGTGTGGTGTAGGGAACTTGTAATTTCACCAGTTAGGCATAATAAGTAACTAAAAAAGAAATGAGGAGTGGAAGGATTAATTAATGTCCACCTACTGGGACCAGGTGTTGTGGTGGGCTGTTAATCAAGTTCTGATGGCTCACAAGAATTTAAATATGGTATAAGTAATCAGGAATTCATTTTCCCTGTGGAAGAGAGACAACATACATAGATGCCTAGGAATATTACTGAATAAACTTAAACTTGCAGCAGATCTCTGCCTTCTTACTTAATTTGTGCAGGTAGTTAATTTAGGTCCTTAGCTGTCACAGGGTTTTGTTGTAAGGCAGTTCTTGTCATTCAGATTCCTGACAGATTAAAGTAAGGGAGTTTTATTGACTGTTGACTTTTCCCCACTCCTTATTTAATTCCAATCCCCAAAGTATTTCCTGGCATTCAAACAGTTTGATTACCTCTACTATTAGATTACAGAATGTTAAATAATACTTGTCTCATATATGACAAAAAGTAGATAAGATAAAACCCCCTTCAAATAGAAGACTTAATGGTCTTTTAGGACTCTTTAGTTTTTCTTAATACTTATAGGCTGAAATGCTGTTTCCTCAGCATTTTCTTGACCAGCAAAATTAAAAGTAATCATAGATGAACAAAAGACAGTAGTTAAGGTGATGATTATAAAAGAATGTGGGAGAAATGGTGCTCTGTGTCTGTTTTTCACCAAGAAACCAACTGAAAAATACCATGGTCACATAGGAGATGGCTTACTTAAACATTGGGAAATGGCTTGCAACAGGCTTCCATGAAACTTATTTTTTTAATGGCTAAGTCATAGTGACTGGGGGAAAAAAAACTGCAACAAAAAAAAAAAAAAAAGTGTACCTGTCTGCAAAGATCTATACACACAAAACAAATCTGCACTCATCTAGGAAAATTAACTAAAAGAGAAAGTATAAAGTCTTAAAACTATAAAATGGCTTGGTTGGAAGGGACCTTGAAGATCATCCAGTTCCCACCCCTGCCCAGTTCCCTTCCACTGTCCCAGGCTGCTCCAAGCCCCAGTGTCCAACCTGGCCTTGGGCACTGCCAGGGATTGTGCTCTTAAATTTCTGCAAGTCTATTGGCGTGGTTTTCCTCTGTGCTAAAACTTTGTTTCTTCCTACAATCAGATCTATTAAAAAACTAAAGATTGTTTCAGCCAAGGGAGCAGTTGCTCTGTTTGTATTTGTTCTTCATAGTGAAGATGAGCTTAGTACTGTAGTGTGTTGAAAAACTAAATGTGGTATTTTAATGTTGCTCTGTTATATTATGCTTACATAAAAAGGAGTTAACACACATCCTTAAATTCAGGTTCAGTTTGTTAATGCTTTTTTTTTTATTGTTGTGTCCATTGTAGGTTCCTGTGTGGTTCGAGATGCCACAGGGAATGTTAACGACACCATTGTCAACGAGCTGGCAAACTGCACCAGTGCAGCCTGCAAGCTAAACTATGACTTCTCATCCTGTCAGGCAGGGGCAGGCTGTCACTATGGGCTGATGAACAATTTCCAGGTATAAAACTTCCTCCTTAATCTGTATATTGGGGTTTGTGTTCAGATCTTTTTTAATTTTTTCGGGGGGGATTTTTTTTTTTAATTTGATTTGGTTTTTTTTGTTTTTTTGGGGTTTTTTTGGGTTTTGTTTTGTTTTGTTTTTTGGGGGGGTTTTTTGGGGTTTTTTTTGTTTGTTTGTGTTTTTTGGCTTTTTGTCGATTTGGTGTCTTGGTGGGTTTTTTTGTTTTGGTTTGTTGGGGTTTGGGGTTTTTTTTTTGGTTATTTTTTTGTGTGATTTTGTTGTTTTTTTGTTTGTTTGTTGTTTTGGGGGAGCTGTGCAGGTTTTTTGGTTTGTTTTTTTTTGCTGGTTTTGGGTTTCTGTGTTGGTTTTTTGGGTTGTTTGGGGCTTTTTGTTGCCCGTTGTTTTGGCAGGTCTTGTTTGTTTTTTTTCCTTGGGTTTGTTGGCTTGTGTTTTTTTTTAGTTGCTTGTCAGGAAAAGTCATAGGTTATATATATTCACCTCCATAAATACAAGTTTAATGTGGAATAGGTGTGTGGTACACTCTAGCTTGGTATGCAAAAGAATGAATACATGTTGAAAACTCTTAGGTGTTTATACACAAGTGGCATAAATATTTACTCTTTTTCTGAGCAAATTGCTTATATTTACATGGTGGTGCTGCAGCTTTCTTTAGGTACCTGAATGTCATCATTCACCAGTGAGGGTAAATGTACTGATTTTTCAGTAATGATGCTGATTAATCATAGGTAGCCTCTGTCAGTAATTTGCTTGCTAAATTTTTAAGGTTTTTTAGAAAATACGCTGAAATTTTAAAGACTGTTTTACATGTTTATCACAGCATCCCCTTTAGTGGTAACAAGGCCATGAATTTTCATTAAACATGATGTTACAGTATCTAAAAATCCTCTGCAAGTTAAGGGGTAATTCACAGTCTTTCACCACAGCCAGCTGGGTTGTTCATGAGCTGCTGCTAAGGGTTTGAAAGAATCCAAGGGAAAATGAATTTACTGCCCACTGATTCCAGTTCGGTTTGTGACAGTCCCATCTTTGCCCAAAGTTTTTCTAACATGCGTACAAAAAGTTGGCTAGAGATTGAGCTGAAACCCACTAATGAAATTGTTATAGCGTAATAATGTGAGTATCTTGTGAGGTGTTAACATTGTTCTTGTGCAGGGAAGTCAGAATTGCTGTTGTGGGATTGACAAATGTGCAAAGTCTGATGACTTTCATTGTTTGTTTTAAGCTCAAAAGAACCAACATATTGTCAGATAAACATCTGTGAATAGCCTGTAACTGGTTTCCTCTGTGTCTTTAAGTCATGACTGTTGTAAGGTTCTAAACATAAATGTTACTTGTACTTCAGGGTATTTCTGCCTGCCAGATTATTCTTGCCTCTCTCTGTGGAAAAAAGAGTTTCTGTCAATTAGGAAAAGTCACTTTAAAGGTCAGAGGCAGCGCAGATAATGTGGTGCCCCTCACATCCTCCTGCTTTGTTGTAGTTTTGTGAACCTTCTCTGTGAAATTTCATTTTTTTAATACCCAGTGGGACTTACCCCTTGCTGTTTTTCCCTCTCACCCTCCCAGCTTTTGCTGTGCATCTCTGAGAAGGGTCTGATTCTGTCTTCTCAGAAGGTGTCAGAAGGGAAATGTTTGTGTGAGAGGCTGTTTATCTAATGAGACACTTGTCCTTCTCATAACTGAACTGCTCACAGTTTTGTATCTCTGATTGTTAGCTGTAAGGAGAGAGAATTTTTTTTTCATATGTAGTGCATGGCGTGTGTGGGAAGGGGGGTGTCCACACTTGTGCACTTCTCAGGTTCTTTTCTATATGGTAAATAACTGAGAACAGTACTGCCCAAGCTAAAATTAATCCCTGAGGTGAGGGAATATTGTTGTATTTCTCTTCCAGCTTGAAAACAGGCAGGTTCTGGGGCAGAAAGTGCCAGTTTGTGTTCACAGTGTGATGACTTCATCACTTCAGGACACTCCGTGCTGCAGTCAGTTCTTTTGGCAAAGAATTGATCTGAAGTTCTGCTGGGTCAGCTCAGGGTTTGGGTGTGTTCAGGCAGCTGATGGATGACTTTGTAGTATGATTTACCTGTGGAAATCTTGGATTAGGAACTCTAAATGAGGACAGGAGGTGAGACAGGCTGTCAGACCTGTCTAGGAAGACCATCTTTAGTTTCTATTACAGTGAATTATAGGTCCTCACAGGATTCTGATATTTCTGTTCACTGGTTATTCTGCGCCCAGGCTGTCACCTGGTAGAAGAGTATTTGCAAAAACAGCCTGAGTCTAGAGCTTCCCAACAATAAGTTACAGCTTTGGGTAATTAAAATGTGGGTATTTTTTTTTTCAACTTTGGATGAAAGTTGAAAGTAGAATGAAACTCAGTTGTTTTAATACGGAATTTTTGTTTTGCTCCAGAGTGCTGGACCAAGGAACTGAATTGTATCAAAATATGGTATTTCATGATCCCAAATGCTTGAAATTTAGGAAACTGCCTTAACTGTAAATGCCAGGCAAACATAATGAGGCCCTTATCAGCAGGAGCTGTATGTCTGTGTCAGCACACCAGTGGTTGCAGGGCCACTCTGCCCTTTTACTCTGCAGGGATGAAAATTTCAGTGCCATGGGGAGCTGCCTTTGTGGGCTCCTTGGTTCATGGTCAGGAAGTCTGGATTGTGCTGGGGATGGAGGGAGGGGACCCTGATTCTGCTGGATCTGGTTTCCCCCTGTGTTCTCCCAGCTTAGAGGAGCTTCCTAAAGTCACTTAACTAACCTAAGGCATAACTTGCTAGCTTTTAAAATGGCAAATATTAATTGCATAGGCTTGGCAGGGATATCTCTCAAATTTATAAAACGGGGTAATAGTCAAAAATAGTGAGGGTCAATAATTGGAGGCATTGGACAGAACCTAGGAAGAGAATGTAAAATGTAAGTTGGTTGTCAGAAGCAAATAGCAAGTTGAGGCAAGTGTAATAAAGGCATCAAAATATTTTACATGTGAGAAGTGAGGGAAACTTGTACACAGATTCCCTCTATAATGAGGGAAGATTGATTAAGCCATCCTTGAAAGGGAAAAATATTTACATACTGCTTCTATAAAAATTAATGTTCATTTGGTAATTATGTTGCTATAGCAGAAGTTTCTTTCTACAATAGTAGCAGAGCATTTGCACCTCTTAAATTTCATTCTGTAACATAATGTAGGGTTATTAGAAACTACCATTGAAAACTGTAACTTTTTCTATTGCTTATAAAATTAAATTGAACTGGGGCATAGGAGAGATAGCTTGATAGAGGTGTTGTTAGTCTTACTCCTCTATGATTATAGGCCTGGCATGCCTTTTTTTTTGGTTTTTTTTTTTGTTATAACCTTGCAAGTAGGCTTCAGGAAGTTCTCTCCTTCATTTGTTACACTACTCTTGACAGACACTTTAGTCTCATTTTTTGCAACCTCCATTTATTAAATTTCTCTTTCAAGCAAGGCATGCCTTGGACTGACCTGTGAAACCTGATGTAGTGCAGCAGATTCAGCTGACTCAGAGGCCCAGCTGCCATTGTCAGTCTGTTCTGGAGAAATCCACTAAATTTTACCATGAATTTAGCCCTAGTGAACAAAACTTCCTCAGTCATCTCTACATTATGTCTGAGAACATCTGACCTAGTAAGATTTATTTAGACAGCAAGATTTTACCATCTCAGGTGACAATAACTTTAAAACAGGAGACTTCTGCATGTTTTTTCTTGCCTTCCTTTGATTGCTCTCCTGATAATTTAAATGAGATTGCCAGGGTGAAAAAGGCAAGGAAGCAGCGCAAATGATGCAGAAACACATTGTGCTTGAAAAGCACCCTGATGAGTTTGGTCTGCTGACTAAAATTCTTCAGCACTGGCTGTCTTTAAGCAACTTCAGCTCTTTTTTCCCTTAAAGGAAAGTATTCTATTAAACCATGAACATTTTTTAATTACACAGTTGTGTATCTTAAATCACATGATAGATGCAAAGCTGCATGCAGCTATGGTACAGGTATAATCTGTAGAAAAGTGGAGTCACAGATTTAAGGTCCCTTTAGGTTGAAAGGGACCTTAAAGATGATCTTCCAATCCACATGGGCATATACAGGGATGGCACTCACTTTTTATAATCTCCCTCTTTTTTAAGGCCCCTTGAGGTACTGGAAGCTCATTACTCATCCAGTTTACATTTGACTTCTGTCACTGAGATTACAGAGATGTGCTGGGATTTGATGTTGGGGAGATAGGAACCAAGTTTGTCTGCACCTTCAGGTTTTGACTGGGGAAAAAAAAGCCTAACTTAAAATGGAGATTCTGAGAAAAGTGGTTTTCACATGATTTATCACTTGGGGTTTCTGAGACCGTGTGAGTTAGCAATAGGTTAGCTGGAATATGTAATACATTCCAAAGTATTTCTTCTTCCATTACTTCCTTCTGATCTTCTTATGCGCCCATGAAGACTTTTGCCCTTGATAATTTGAGCTTCAAATTATATTGTATGAAAAGCCACCACCTCTTGTCCTGAAATCAGGATGCATTTATACTCCCTGCTCTGTCTCTAGCTCATTCATTTATATGAATGCATGATATTCAGACAGCTTTTAAGTGAAGAGTGTGTAGTATTTTCTTTTCTGTTTGTGTAGTTATGGTGCCATCTGTTTGTTTAGTGTACCTTTTTCCGTATTTTAAAAAAAATTATTTTGGTTTTCAGGTCATGAGCATGGTATCAGGATTTGCACCACTGATTACTGCAGGTATTTTCTCAGCCACACTGTCATCTGCATTAGCATCTCTTGTGAGTGCCCCTAAGATCTTCCAGGTAAGTAAGGGAAGAAAATGGTAACATTTTGAAGAATATTTAATTTTGAGTCATGATTTTTGGAAGGGGGCTTTGACACGCTGCCGTCATTATCCATATCAGATGACACCAGTGGATTGTTCTAATATTTACCTGTTGCTTAGAATGGGACAGCTGTTTGTTACTGTTTCTTGGGGTTCCTGAGTGTATTTTGCTCTTTCTTTTTAACTATTGAATCTCCTTCTCTGTCTTAATTTGGGTTAAAAGGAGTTAAGTGGGGAGTCAGTTGTATTGATGCAGAGAACTGGTGTGTATATTGGGCAAAGTTTCCACTTCCTGAGAAAATAAAATATGGGAAAAAAGACTTTGTGATTCTAAGACAGTAGTCAAGTAAAACAGACAGTTACAGAAAAGCAAATTTGCTTCTTGCAGGTGGACATTACTTAAGGATAGAAAAGTGGAAATGCAAAATGTCAAGATGCAATGACATTTGAGAATACAGTTAGTGTATGGTGGTTATAAACTATCCAGAAGTGTTCAGAAAGATACTATGCAATGGAAGATGGCATGAGCAAAATGCATGTTGACTCTTGATTTTTTTTTTTTTTTAATTTTTTTTTTTTTTAATTTTTTTCCCTTAGGCTTTGTGCAAGGACAGCATTTATCCAGGATTTCAGATGTTTGCTAAAGGCTATGGGAAGAACAATGAGCCACTGAGAGGATATATTCTAACATTTTTAATTGCTCTTGGATTCATACTAATCGGTTAGTTTGAAATTTTAGTAAATCTCAATCCCCTTTTGTCCTTTAGAAAGCATTCCAGTGCATGTTGTGGACTTGATGACAGGGTCCTAGAGATCTAATGCACAGCTTAATTCTAAGTCAGCACTCTAAATCTGGTTATTTTGAGGCTTACTTTCTCCTCCTATCTTCTAGATACAACTCTGTCAAGAGCTGCAGTAAATTTTAACTGCAATTCTCTTTTTAATCATAGGTCTCTGTCTTTAGGTGCTATCAGTCAATAGAAATACATCCTTTGCTTGAGACAGTGTTAACATCCTGTAAATATGAAAGTTTATTTCAGATTTTTAGTAATGGCAGCTTCAGTAAAATGCAAGCTTGCATGAGCAATATTATTTAAAATGTGCTTTTCTGTTAAGTTACAAATGGCAGAGCTGAGTGCTGACACTGCTGTTGCTAAAGGCTCTCTAGGTTATAATTAATTACACATGTTCTCTGTAGGTGGCAAACTGATTGTGCTGTGTCCATCTATGAGTCCTGAGCCCGTGCTTTCAACTTCTTTTCCCAATTTGCTCTGTCCTCCTTCCTCCACATCTCTGCTTGAGGCAGAGATACACCCTTGGGGTCCCTGCTGAGCCATGCTGACTGGAAGCTTGATTGCAGCTAGAAACTTGCTGACTAGGATGGTGCATTCTGCATTTTGATCACTTTTTTTTTTTTTAATGATGGTGAGAATACGCATAAAACTGTTTTGTACCATGCTGCCTCAAGGAAAGGAGAGAGCATCAGGTTTTTCCTCTCACCGGAGGGGGTGTAAGCATCGCTTACTGCTGTGATGGTGTTGGTCTGTGATATTTATGTCTTCTGGAATTCTTCAGAACCCAGTGTGTTAGTGCACTGTTTGATCCAAGCCCTGCTGGGAATGAAATTTTCTCAATTAATGGTCTTGAGAAAGTATGTAGCATGTCCAGAGTGCTTCTAGAACACTTGGTAGTGCTTATGTTTTTGAAGCTGAAAGCTGCACTTCCTAACTGTTAAAAAGATAACTTAGTAAATAGGAGATCATTGACATAAAGTTCTGTCAGCAAAAAGGGTAAACTGCATTCCCTTAGAGTTTATAAAAAAATAAGATTCTTTGCAGCAGAATTTTTTCACTGTAATCTTCAAAACCATTGGGTGATACCTTTGATAACGCCTTGCTTTCTTCTTTTTTTTTTCATTTTACAGCCGAACTGAATGTCATTGCTCCAATTATTTCTAATTTCTTCTTGGCCTCATATGCCTTGATTAACTTCTCTGTATTCCATGCTTCTCTTGCAAAATCTCCAGGTAGGAACTACTCATGGCATTAAAAGCTTAATATGTTGTATTCATGGGTCTTCTGAAGTTTTGAGCACTGGGTGATCCAGGAGGGCTTGGGGGCTGATAATTTTGTCACCTTTGCTGAGGGAACACAAGGTAATTCAGAGTTTATTCAGAAACTGAGGAAGAAAGCATTTTTGCTAATTCAGTAGCTGGTGCTGGCAAACCACCTTTTGTTCTATTCAGTTTTTGTTAATGTTTCATATTCCAGACACGAAGAAACAGGAATTGCTGGTGGTATTGCCCCATTTTTATAGCCTTTAGTGTGGGTTAAAGTACAGGAATAAGCCAAAACCTGGTACCTGCAGAACAGATGTACATTATACCCAGTTCACATGAAGTTGTACTGGAATAACTCCCCTAAAAGCTTCTTAAGTTACTGAATGGGTAGAGTTATTATTTTGCTTCTCAGAAGGTGGGTATAACAGTTTGCATAACAGTTTGCAAAACAGTTCTAACTTTAATAACTAATCTTGGATGTGTTCATGGAGGTGTGTATACCTGATTTTTGGATAAACTTGTGGCAAATAATGTAAAATACTGGCAGTCCAGTACTTGGATGTACCCAAGTTCTGTTTGGATATACCTGTCCTTTTCATGTGGTGAGAACTTTTCATGTATGTGAAAACAGTAAAAATGCACAACTAAAAACATATATATGTACGTAAGAAACTGAGGTATGAGATGATGATTTATGCTTTTCTACCTTTGAAAGGAAAAATCTAATGTCAGGCAGCCTGGTTCAATGGACATACTAGAACAAGCATCCTCAAACTTCCCTTCTGAGCTGTGCTTTTAGGGGGAAAAATTAGGAGCATTTACATATCTGTGTGAGAAAGCTGGAAACTCATTTGAAAGGTGCTGGAAAATGGAAAGCATAAATGTGCCATTCTGCATTTACATCACTGAAACTCAGATGTTAACATGTAATGAATGCAGAATACCAGGGAAGGGAAGGGAAAATATTGCAGTGCCTTCCTTCTTTTACATTTTAATTTTAAATTAATTTTCCCCCTCTTTTTTCTACCCTCCAAAATTTTATTTTGACTAGGTTGGCGGCCTGCTTTCAAATACTACAATATGTGGATTTCTCTCATTGGAGCTATTCTGTGCTGCATTGTAATGTTTGTCATTAATTGGTGGGCAGCACTTCTAACTTACGTCATAGTCCTTGGGCTTTACATCTATGTCACTTACAAGAAGCCAGGTATGTACAGGGGCTTCTTTTGGTTGTGGAGGGGGGAAAGAAGGGAAAAAAAATATGGCCTTGTTAGGGAAAAACCCCAGCAACTTCTTTCTGTTTGGACCACTAGATTAATTTTCTGTTTCAGCCTTTTTAGTTGTAATTAAATGGAATTCTTCCTGCATCGTCATTGCTGTTCCCCCTCCTCCCAAATTATGAAGATGCCACTTGGACATAAATGTCTGAATGGCAATTGGATGAAAAGGTGCATATGGAAAATGGAAAATTTGTTATGGCTATCAAGAGAGGTGTATATGGGAGGAAAAAGATGATAGTGGAGTCTTCCTTTTCCTTGTAAAAATAATAATCTGAAAGGATCTGCTTTATGTAGCAGTTTTCCACTGAAAATAATCTGACTTTGTTTAGGACGTGTTTTGAGATTCAGTTTTTTCTTTGCTGTGGTATAAAATAGCACAGCATTTTTTCCTCAAGTGGTATTCTTTTGACTGTGAAGTTGTTGAGGTCTTCAAAATGTGGAGATAAAAAAAGCCAGATACTCTCTTCCTTAACTTTTTTGCTTAAACTGCTACGGAAATGTTATCTTTAAATATAATTGCCTGTTAAGATGTAGGCTTTAAATATAATTGCCTTTAAGATGTAGGGTTTGTTGACTGGTATTGTATAAAATGTAGCAAGGTATAGCTTAAGTCTGCGGGTTTAGTCAATGTCCAGCATTCATTTTGTGATCATGAAGCTTTACAACAGACAACTGTAAATAACACATTGGAACCTCAAATCTTTGAGCAGATGTGAACTGGGGATCCTCAACTCAAGCCTTGACTTACCTGAATGCTCTGCAGCATTCCATCCGGCTCTCAGGAGTGGAAGATCACGTGAAAAACTTCAGGTAACGCTGAAAGACGGGAAATTAATTCTCTGTTCACTAGGCTGCTGTCACAAGGTTTGCTCTCGGGGTTCCCATTAAGGCATTGTTCATCTCCTGTGATTCATCCAAGTAAATGGAATTACAGATTAATGGGATTGTGAGTAGAGGTGCCATCCTCTGAGGTTGTGAAGAACCTGGCAGCAGCAGAGTTTTCAACAAAGCACCCATGAAAATGAAATGGAGCAGCTAAGGAGATTGTGAGATTACTTGAGGGGATTCATATGGTATCACCTATTAATTACGATGATGATGATAAGTGATCTCCTGTAATGACTTCTGAAGTTTGGACACTTCCTCTTTTAAAATTGGTTTTAAAAGTTGCCTTTGACTTACTTGCACTAGGTTGGCTCTGTCTTCTGAAGGAAGGTAATGTGAAAGATGAGCAGATGATTCCAGTATTTCTGCTGGACACAGGAGAATATAAGTGACAAAAATGCAAGGGACTTATCAGTGGGGAAGAAAAACTTAATCCCTCTGCTCTAGTCTTGTCTAAGATCTGTTCTTCAACTTTTTAAATCTGTAGATTTTCAGATTTAATGGGATTACTGAATTTTTATGCAATTAGTCATAGATCTGCTGACAGTTGGGTAACAGCTGATCTTTTCTTAATTTAACATAGTCTTGTAGAAGTGGACGAGGTTATTAAATTTGCAGTGATGAATATGTTGTTATGGCTAATATTTGGAAGAACCTTTTCTGTTACTAAAAACCCCCAGAACTCCAGATTAATTCTAATTCAAATCTTCTTTTTTTCCCCTCATAATTCTAGACCTCAGTGCTTAATTATGACAGGTGCTCCAAATGCACGTCCAGCTTTGCTTCACCTTGTCCATGCTTTCACCAAGAATGTGGGCTTGATGATCTGTGGCCATGTACATATGGTAAGTTTATTCTGTCTTTACTTTATAAAGTTACTTTGGTGGTGTTTTTCTTCTCTCTGCTTTCTTGTTTGGTTTGGTTTTTTTAACCAATTGTGGCTCATACTTAAGTTTTGGATTGTTTATTTGTTTGGGTTGTTTTCTTTTTAAATGAAAGCATCATTAGACTTTAAAAAGCACATGAAGAGATTCACTGGTAAGTTTTGCTAAGGGATCATGACTATGCCAGTTAGGTGTACTACAGGGAAAATTTGTAAAAATATCACTACCTTTGATAATTTGATGCTTAAATGCTGAAGGACCTTTTACTTCTAATTTAAGTGAACACTGGGAGATTGATTCCCTTGTAGAATTCTTAAAAAGCCTGAGAGAAAGGAAACCTTGAGCAGGGAACTCAATACCACTTTAGCCAATAGCTAAAAATTGCTTTTAACCTTCCAAGTAGCTTTTTATTCCTTCAGTTATCAGATTAATTTAATTGTCAAGTGTCTCTTCTTCCCCTTCTGACCAGCCCCTGATATTTCACTAAGTGTGAAATTAGTGAAATTTGATATTTCACTAAGTATCCTTGGATGTTTTTGTCAGAATATCAAGTGAGGATATGCTTGCAGAGGTTCTGCAGGGATATAATTCTGACAGTTCTTACTACTTAGTGTCTTACGTGGCAATCTTGAGTGGTTTTGTGATGGTGGGAAGGAAGCAATTTCCAAGTGGCTTTTCTTCAGAATCAGCTTGTCATAAGCTGTGTTGATTGAGATACAGGGTTGCTGTACCAAAACTTCCATTTAGCTACAGAGAGGCATCTCTGATAAACTTAGATAAATGCATTTTACCACACTGGAATTGTGTAGTTTTGCTTCGTATCTTGAGGCCAAACTTCTGTCACATCACTAAGAGCATTTAAGCAAGTTTGTGACTAAGAGATGTAATCCAGGGCTGGCACGTGTCACCTGCCCAGAGTTCTGCAAGGCCTTCAGCACAGTCCCATGGGACATGGGCATCTCCAAACTGAAGAGACCTGGGTTTGAAGGGTGTAGGATTGAGTGGATGAGGAGTTGTGGCCAGTGGTCAATGATTCCATGATGAGTGATGTCCCTCAGGGCTTTGCTCTGGGACTGGGACATCCTTCATAGGTGACATGGACAGGGAGAGCAGGGCCACCCTCAACAGGTTTGCAGCTGACACCAAGCTGAGGGTGCTGGTGACACACCTGGAAGACATTGAATAAAAACATGGATCGCTCTTAAATGTGTTTAAATTTATTACACTCACCAAGTGTGACTTGCTTCTCATCTAAAGAACAGATTAAAGCAACTCAGGTTAATGCAGTCCACATACAGATACTCTGTCTCAAAAAGCTTTTAATTTATATCTGTATAAACTTAATATTTCAGTGAATATGAAAGGACAAACCGAGGACTGCTAGGGAGATAAGATATCACAGATGTAATCACTGCCATTTAAAAGTAGGGCTGTACAGGAAAGAATAAGCTGGTGTCATCCTTCTTGCAGGAAAGCAACTCTGAAGATTCTTTGGGAGCATATTCTTTCCCTATTTAAAATTACTTTCTTAAAGGAAGGGTGGCACTGCCTCATTCTTCAGTAGCTTTGACCGTTTGGTTGAGTCTGTGTCCTTCTGCAAAAACTGGGCTGCTGTGTTCTTGATTATTCCTTGTCCTGTATTCTGCATTTTGATGTCTAGGAGGAACACAAAAGATTCACCCCCACAGAAATAACATAAAGGAAATACTTAAAGAGGAGATGACTTTGACTGCAGGATACAAAGACTCCCATAAAGTGTAATATTAAGTCATCCTGCATCTGTGTATATTTTTTTACAAAGCCCTTTTCTTTTAAAACCATGTTAATGCTTTGGAGGACAAGCTGATGCCCACCCCCTGGGGAAGAGGGTTGTGCTCTGCAGGAACAAGATTGCTAAAGTTTGAGCAACCCTCTTCCTAAAGATGGTAAAAGTTCTTCACTTTTTGCTGCTGACAGTGCCTGCTATTTTGTAGTTTGGGGTGTTATTGGTAGTGTGCAAGCATGTTTTGAGGTTTTCTGAATTTGAATTTTTTTCTAGTAGTGACTAAAAAATTGGGAGGGGCTTTTTTACTCCCATTACTCCTATTCCTAATTCTTGTTCCCTCCCCTCTTATTATTTCCTTCTTTTGAAAGGGTCCTCGGAGGCAAGCCATGAAGGAACTGTCAACTGATTTGGCCAAATATCAGCGATGGCTAATTAAAAACAAGATGAAAGCTTTCTATGCACCAGTGCATGCAGAGGACTTGAGGGATGGAGGACAATACCTAATGCAGGTATTTAAAAAAAAAAGTGTTAAAGTGCTGAAGATGCACATCAAAATCGGGAGGGGCTTTATACTTTGAAGTACATTCCTTTTGCAGAATTATCTTAAAGCTTTGATGAAAATATATTCTCTTAAGCAGAAAACAGAACCTTTAGTTATGTCAGTAACATGTTACTTTATAAAATACTTCTTGTTCTTCTTAGGCTGCTGGTTTGGGTAGAATGAGACCTAACACCCTTGTTGTTGGATTTAAGAAAAACTGGAGACAAGGTGATATGAGAGATGTTGAGACCTACATCAATTTATTCCAGTAAGTAGAAAATACAAAGTTTTAGCTGCTATGCTCCATTTCAGTATGTTTGGTAGTAAGAAAGTTCTTACTACCAAAGTAAGAACTTTACCAAAGTAAGAAAGTTACATGAAGTCTCTTTCAAGTGGACGTAGATTTTCCATTCATCAGTCTTGAACACCTTGGGATTTTTCTGATATGGAAATTAATAAGCAAATCTGTATAGTTTAAGCAGATTAGAAATCTCCATGATAGCTTTCTGCATCAAAAAAGAGTTGTGGCAGAGGCCTGAGGTTTGAGAGCTTCTGTCTGAGAAGGAGGGGGAGCACTTTGCTCACAAGATACACAGCACTGACACCCAGGCTAATACAGGAAGGAGAAGAGAAGGGAAATCCCAGAGTAAATTGACAGTACTGAAAGGCCAGACCACTTGTGGCTGAAAAATTTAGTAAGAGCAACTTGTTGCTCCTACCCAAACACTTAAGGAAAAAAACAATGCTTACTTTACTTACAGAGAGGTTTTTGTGTTCAGCTGAAGTGCTGGTTAACCCACTTCCTTTGTGCTCTGTATTTCTCATTTTCTGTGCTTTTAAAAGAGAGAGGGGATGGGGCTTTAAGCTTTACAGGCAGATATTAGGAAAGGACGAAAAAAGTCATCTCACCTTGGTCTTTAAGAGAAAAGCAAGGGCACCAAATAAGGAAAAATAAGGAAACACGTTGGTTAGTTTTTTCTTTTTTTTCCTATTTTATTTTGGGATGGCTTTTGCAGGAAGATCTATCAAGGTCAGCAAGTCATGTGGTTCTCCACAGCCCTAAAGAAACCTCAGGAGGTAATAACTGCAGGTCAAATGTATTTCTGGAAAACTAAAAGTTTCTGAAGCACACAAAATAGAAACACATCTAATCTCTGCAAATCTAACACATTAAATAATGAAATTAAATTGTTCACTAATAGACACAACAAATCTCAAATCAACCTCAATTTTTCTTGCACTTATTATAGAATACATTGACACGTCAAACATTTCTAATCAAGTCTCACTACTTCTAAAGTAAAGTGTTTAATTAGTGAAATCCTGAGAAATTTCTGTGGAAATGATATGGGAGGGAGTTCTCTGATTTATGGTTGTTTGCACTGAACAAGGTATTTATATGCAAAGGATGGTGATTAATGACTAATGCAAACTGTATGATATGGTTAAGTTCATCTTTTTCTTGTCTTATATTTTGGGGGTGGGGTTGTTAACTAATTTTACTCCACTTTTGCTCAGCAATTTATTCAGGGTTTTTGCTCTTTTCTACAGTAATGAAGTTCTGCCTCTTTATTTTTGACTGGAGTGAGTTTCAGCTTTATCAGATGTAATGGGACTAGGCACATTATAGCTAACTTACAGCTAGTTTGATATTACATTGCATCATCTTAGGTGTTTTCAATACCCAAACGTTTTGAAAAGATGTCAGAAATCTTTGATTCTCAGCTCAAAAAGATCTACTCAAATCTCTTTTTCGATGGATGGAGATAAAAATCAAAATTTCTTGGACAATTTTTCTACCTGTGCAGAACTTGAGTGACCTGTTCATGATGATTTTATTTAATCACTGTTTACATAGTGGAGAGAGGGAGTAGAAGGAATAGGCATCCTTTTTAAATGTTATTTTTCCTAAAATGATGTTCAGATAATATTTTGGATTTCAAGCTAAAGCAGATTTATAATTTGAGACATCCAAAGGCAGTGCTTAATCCCTGGAATTTGTTCAGGTAGGGTGCATTTTTCATTTGGAAAAGAAAAAGCTTTAAACTATTTTGATTTTGTCCCTTTTGTTTAGTGATGCCTTTGATGTTCAGTATGGTGTAGTCGTCATTCGCCTCAAGGAGGGCCTGGACATTTCTCACCTTCAGGCCCAAGGTATGACTTTGTTCCATGTGGTGAATTTGCTGTTCTAATTCCCTCCTGAAACTGTGTTCTGAAAATATTAAAGCTGTGTAAAAAAATCCACCAAACATCACTGCTATGCTACAATAAAATTCAGTGAAATTAGTAAGTCTGAACTGTAAGATAGTAACCCACGATCAGCAGCACAGCTTGGATTTTCTGTGTTTCACATTTTTGTACTTGCAAATTTTATACAAATGCTTCCAGAAGAACTGCTGCTTTCCTGAAACTAATTAGTGATGCTGGCAAGTTGACATCAAATATTTGGGGCCCAAGCCCAGAAGTTGTAAAATCACAACAAATACTGCCCTATGCAGGGACCCCATTGAGTTTGGTGGGGGTTGCCAACCCCTACACAGACTAGTCTAGGGACTCTGATTCAAATTTGGAAAGGTTTTCTGTGTAGAAGACTTGGTTGTGCTTTCTGAGTAGTGTTCTTAAGTGGAATGGTGTAATTTTAGTTAAATTCCAAGCCTGTGAGCTTTGGTGCAGCTGCCCTGATTTGATAATGTGTAATTTGTGGCTTGCTCCACACACTGCTGCTACCTTGAGGAGAAATGACACAAGGACGAGCATCCCCCTGAAAAAGGAGGATCCTTCATTGGAAAAGATGAATGTTTGAGTATTTTTAATCCCAAAGATCAATGTTTTTGTGTTGGAGAGAGTCAAGGAGGCTGTCACCATGTGCAGGAGGGCAGAGGAGTGTGACAAATGGCAAGGAGTGTGAACATGCAGAGTGGAAACAGCACTGCTGAGAAAACTGGGAATGTAACACCAAGGTGTCAGCAGCATCTTGGTGCCCACTGGGAACTCTGAGCTTGCTTCAGCTCTGACAGCTGCTCCACAGAAGCCAGACCTGGAAAAAATAGGCTTGACAGTGAGACAGACACACTTGGTCTGTGCTGTGCCTGAGGCTCATCTTCCTCTTGGAGTTAAAAGCAAAAACAGAAAACATTTCACCGATTGATTTTTTTTTTTTTTAATAATTTTCTAGTTGTAGTTCCAGTGTTACCTAGCTCTGTTTCTGGGTGGTGTGATTGCCATCAGCAACCACAGCCTGGGAAAGGAACAGAGAATGGCAGCTCTGCTCATGGGAGGAGCCTCTTGGTGCTCTGAAGAAGTTGACAGAATATTTTTGTGTTGGTTTTCCCCCCTCCTGCCCTCTTTGCTGTGGTCTAACAGTTGCAACAGCATGTAATTAATTTTAAACCGGCTCAGAACAGGCACTTACCTCTGTTGGTACTATTTGTAACAATTCAGTGGTTTCTAATAGGTTTTTTTGCTTTCACAAAGATTTGCTGTCATCCCAAGAGAAGTCTCCCTGTGCCAAGGATGTCATAGTAAAAGTGGATTATAGCAAGAAGTCTGAGACAGACACTTCCATAGCTTTTGCTCCATCATCCAGTGAAAGAACTCCCACTCCACGCAAAGGTAACTGCTAGTTAGCAATGAACCTTGAATTCTCACTCTTTCTCTCTCTCATTCCTCCTCAGCTCCTCTCTCTCTTTGCCCAGGGATTATTTAGGGGGTTTTTTTTGTGTGTGTGTGTGGAATAGAAGAGTTATGCTTTTATAGGTGTTGATGTCTAATCTCTTAAGTACTTTGTGTCAGATCTTACCAGGATGTAGAATAAATATTTGTTTCATGTCCCCTAAATAACCCAGGTGGTAGGCAATGACTTAAAATAGATTTTTTTTTTTTTTTTTGCTACTGAGTTTGAGAGACAGTCAAAAGTGCTTGGGATTGTGCCCCACATCTTATGAGTGATGGGAAAGCTGCTAAATTTATGGAAGTTTTTTAATCTCAGACTAGAAAATGTGCATATTATGTGCATATTAACAGATACAAATCATTCAAGATACTTTGACATGACAATAAAGAACTCTACTCTTTTCTTACAAAGCAAAAGCCTTAATAGTTAGATGGGTAGTGGAGGTACATGTAATTTTTTGGAAGTAGAAATGAATATTAGGATTTGGTAGACTGCATCTGTGTGCTTTTCTCTGTGCAAAAAAAAAATCTGCTTCATTTCACGTCTTTGCTTTCTATTTTTTTTAATTTACATTTGTATTGTGTTCATTAATATCACAAAGGAAATTAACCTTTTTATTTTGTATCTTTAAAAACCTTCCAGAGGAGGATGAGGATGGAAAGACTCCAACACAACCACTGTTGAATAAAGGCAGGCATTTTCCATCTTTTTGTGTTAAATCATTCATTCACACTGTTGATTTTAGTTTTCCTTTTGTAATTCTTTCTACACCTAAGTACCGGAGAGGAAAATACCAACCATGCAATGCTTGTTTGTTTCTTCATATCTGCTTTAGAATGTGCTTCATCCTTAGGGATTAGGCTGTGGGGGAAAAAAAATAAATAAATAAAAAAGGCAACATTGTGGAAATTCCCAGAAGAAGTTGCCACTGAGAAAGGATTGTGCATAAGTGTAGGAATTTAAAAAAAAAAAAACAAAACAAAAAAACAGAAATTAAAAAGCTGTTTTGGTAAAGTAACATTTGAAATGTATTCATGACCTTTCTGCTCTCTCAGTTCTGTGTCTCAGGTGTCTGTCTGGTTCAGGAAACAGCATCTGATGGTGCAGTGGTGGAGGTGCCCTCAGTTTACTCAGTGTTCCTTCCACAGTCATGGTGGTTGCTCTGTTACTTGCAAATAGTTCAATACCCTCAAAACTCAGGCTTAGCACAGCTACCCAGTGAGGTGAACATGTTGAAATGATGCAAAGTAGTCTCCCAAATCAGCATTTTGAGAAATTTGCTGAGCAGTTTTCACTAACTTGTTCTGAGTTAATCAGGTATTTTTGCCTTAACTGCAATTAATCTGAACTGTTTTGACATTGTCTTCGTAATTTCAGCAGCTAGGGGCTTTTGTGTTTTAATAATGCAGAGTGAGATTATATCTTGAAGCACAAGATGGCAGTTTGGAAGAAGTCCCAGTATGCAATAAAGTAGTATATTAATGTAAATCAGTCACAGATGTGCTCTAAATTTAAAAAATTCCTAATAAAATAAGGACAGAGACAAATGTCATACTCCTGGCTCTTGCTCAGACTGAGGTTTTAATTAAGAGAAAGAGGTCAGGGATTTTTTCCTGCAGTTCAAAAATGGGGTCTGTATTATTCTAATTGAAAATGCTATTATTGTCTTTTCTCAGTAAATGAAATAACTTTGTTATGCAAAACAGTGCTTATTGCAAAAGGGCCCAATATGCATAAATAGCTTTCAGTTTTACCACATGCTTAAAAAGAAATCTGGATTTAAGGAGAGAATTACTTAGGACAAGACATTTACTTAGAAAATCAGTTACCTACATATTTTTAGGGAAGTTCTGTCATTTGCAGGAGGCAAATTGGTCTCTTTAGGTGTGGCCTAAAGCTCTGGAGCAAAGTTCATTAAATTGTCCAGGCAAAAGTCTGCATAGAGACCTCACACATCCTTTATTTCTCCTTTATTAGATGCCTGCTAAAAGACTTCAGCTGCTGAAATTATGAGTCTCTAGACACCCTAAGTACAGCCAGTTCAGCTTATGGCCATTCAGTCAAAATTTGGAGTTGGGTTGGGGGGTGTAAAGGAAAATTTTAACTTAAAAGTAGGCATATCACAAGATGTTAAGAGTTGCATTTGATGATTTTCAAAGCGGTTGAGCAAAGCACTCCAAAACCAAAATTTCACCATATGTTTTTTTCCAGATTCAAAGAGCTCCTCCTCTCCTTTAAATATGACTGACCAAAGACTTCTTGATGCCAGTTCTCAGTTCCAGAAGAAACAAGGCAAGAGCAATATTGATGTCTGGTGGCTCTTTGATGATGGAGGTAATGCGTTTCATAATTTAAAACCTTTTAATGCTGATAAAAAAAATACTGGAGTAATTCTGGATTGTTAATAGACATCTGTCAATCAGTTCATATAAAATCTGTACTGTGAAACAAAGTACAATTTTCTAAATTTGTCTGAAATTCTGCTCAAAACACAGGCTTGACACTGTTGATTCCTTACCTTATCACAACCAAGAAGAAGTGGAAGGACTGCAAGATCAGGGTGTTCATTGGTGGAAAAATAAACAGGATTGATCATGACAGAAGAGCGTGAGTTTGCCTTAAAAATTCCATTTCAAATGCTAATGCAGCATGTTACACATTGGATTGCTTCTCTTCCTGCTTGCCTTATTTCAGTTGTTCTTTGCTGGAGGTGTGACCATATTCTGTTGCCTTTCTGAAAAAAAAGAAAAAAAAAAGGTTTTGTTTCCCCCCCAGGTTGGTTTTGGATGAGTTACCTCAAACTAACTTTTCTGCAATATTGTCTGACACTATTTCCAAATATTTTCTGAGATTATCTTCAAGAGAGAGCTCCTCTCTTATTTTAAAGCCATAAAACTGTGGTGGGTTTTGTGGTTTTTTTCCCAAAGCATGTTGCTGATTTATGGCCACATGCCAAGTCAGTTTGATTTTTGTCCTTGTTACATTTAAGATGCTTTTTTCTTTTTCTTGCTTCTTAAACCAGTGGTTTTTATTAGCAAACAACTCTGTTCAAAATAATTAAAATTATGATCATGTATAAAAACTTGTTTTTCTGATGCAGGATGGCCACTTTGCTCAGCAAATTTCGGATAGACTTCTCAGATATTATGGTCCTTGGGGATATAAATACTAAGCCAAAGAAAGAAAAGTAAGTTTCAAAACACATCTTGTTTGTTCATTGAATTTGTGATTTCTTTAATTTGGAACGCTTCATTCTTTCCTACGTATGTTATGGTACAGAAGATCCTGTGTTACTCAGTGTTTCACAAAAATGTGGGAAATGAATTAACAGTAACTCCTACGTCCAAGAATATAGAAATCTTTATTTTTTAAATCTCTGGCCTTTAGATTGTAATAATAAATTGAGAAAAATGAAGTTAAAAAAAAAAAAAACCAAACAAAAAAACCCAAACCTGAATTGTCTGCAGCAATCTTCCTTAAGAAGAGAGATGTTCACCAAAACTTAAATGATCTGAATCTCATAATGTCCTAGTTTAGGTAACAAAGCTTGGTCTTGAAATAGCCTGATTTGGGTTTTTCTCTTTTTTTTTCCTTCTCCTTTTTTAACTTGCTTGGACTTTCAGTGTACACAGGAATGATCATACATATGATATTTCTTACTTTCAAGTTCAAAAAAGCATTAATTGTAGATGGCTTTCAGCACAAATTTAGAACAGAATGTGTATGATCTAAAAATACCCTCCTCTGCCATTATCCTCCTTTGCCTTCAGGCCTTCTTGAGTCTGCTGAAGTTGTAAAAATATCTTTTATTTGGGCATGCATTTATCTGAAAGTCTTGATACACCATGGAAATTGGAAAGTGTTATTTCAGAACTTGGCTAAATGCTAAAGTTAATGTGAGTTCTTTTGTACCCTTTTTAGTAGCTTTTTCGTAAAGTGTATAGAATACATTGAGCAACTAAAATAAAGGAAAACAAAGTATTTCTGGCACTCTGGTGCTTTTGGATATGCAGTGTCCAGGAGCCTGCTGCTGTGAAAGGTGTAAACTCTGATGGAGGAGCAGCCATTTTATGCATCACATGGAATCATGATGGTCCTAGAATCATGTGGAATTATTTTTGTTTATTAGAAGTGATCCATGGATTACTTCTGAGGGCATTTTTCTTTCTGTCTCTGTGGATACATCCTCACAACATATCCAAAATATTCCTGAATGTCATTTAGGTATTAACGACAGCTGAGGACCAAGTGGAGGGAGATTAATTTTCAACAGGTGCTGTGCTGTATAATAGTGCTGTTATTAGATCTGCTTTTTGCTCTGCCAAAGAATAGCAGATCACATTTGTTTTCTTTCTTTGGATTAAGGTGAAGTCATTGTGCAGTAAAGACCACCAAGGTCTTTAAACATATTCCTGCTCTAAAGTCCTGATAAATCCAAAGTATTCCTGTTCTTACAAGTGCAGCAGGAAGATTAAGTTAGATATCTATGGTTTTTTTCATTTGAATGTGGCTCTTGGACTGTATTGGAAAGAGATAAAAGAAACAAAGTAAAAAGATCAAAGCCAGAGTCCAGACAGCAATGGCATGGGACCTGATAGCTGATTTTTACTGGAACATGTAAATTCCTCCTCCTTCAAAGTTAGTTCTGAAGAATGTGCTCCTCCTAGATACTGTCCCTTTTTTAAGGGATGGTACTGTTGAGGTTTTAAAATTAGAGGTAAATTTCTGAACTGAGTAAAGCTTTAATTGTGTGGTGAATTGTTTGCTGAATCACAACATCTCTGCATGCAAAAAGCTGATTTGATGCTCTAACTGCAACAGGCAGGGAGAAAAAAAAAGTCAGATCATCTTTACATTGTAATAAAACTTAATTTCTGACACTGTGAAAATAATTTTTCATGTAAAAACTCCTATCTGCTCTAATTTTTGTTCATTTAATCCTTCCAGTATTGCAGCTTTTGAGGAAATGATAGAGCCCTTCCGACTTCATGAGGATGATAAAGAACAAGAAGTTGCAGATAAAATGAAGGAGGATGAACCATGGAGGATAACAGATAATGAGCTGGAGCTTTACAAAACAAAGGTTCTGGCTTTTTTTAGCAACTAAAACTTCCTTCCCCTACTTCATTTGTGGTTGTGATAACGATGAGTTAATTCCTGTTATTCTCTTTCTTCCATAGTAGTTTTTTATGAATAGCAGATAAAAAGCAGCATCTAAAACCATTTACATGGCTCTAAAGGCAAAAGGCAAAAAGGTTCTGCATTTGAGTACGAGCAGGGGCCAGACTGCTTTCCTACAGTATTTCAGCAGTTAGTTTAGAATAATTTCATCTATAGCCAGCTGTTTGTCTTTTTTTTTTTTTTTTTAATCAAGCTAATAATTATTATTTTTTAAAAAACACCACTAAAACCAAGCAACACTTTGTGGTGCAGAGGAGCAGTTGAAGGTTTGACACCTTTCCCAAGCTATTGTGCAGCACAGAGGCACAAAAGTGTTTCTTTTTCAGGTGTTCCTTTGCATGAGAAGGTAAAAGGCACCCAGTAACAGGGTAGCACTTGGCTTACTTGCACATTCTGAGCTTCCTGCTTGCTTTTTTCCCAGCCTTACAACCACAGGTTATTTGATAATGAGGAGTTTCCACACAGAGATGGAATTACCTTCTTTTTATTAATTACTCATTCCAGTTGGTCATACTGATTTTCTTCTTTTCTTTATTTTTTCTAAAGGATTTTTTTGTAGTTTTTAAACAAAAGCTCTTCTGACAAGTTTTTATTTATTTAATTATTAATTGATTAATAATATATTATTATTTTCTGACAATTTTATTTACAGACTTACCGACAGATTAGGTTAAACGAGTTGCTGAAAGAACATTCAAGTACAGCCAACATAATTGTCATGTAAGTAAATTATTTTAACTTGTGATGCTACCTGAATTGATACGGAGCTGTAATTCACAATATAAATGGAAATATAGATCAGGGACAGGTCTTTGCCTTGGCATATTCAAGATTTCAGTCCTGACTGTATTTATTTATTTATTAGAAGTATGGAGCCACCATTCTGCTGAAGAGAAAAATGCCCTTTTTATTGTTGTGCTCTTGATTGTGCTGCTTTAGTTGATCACCTCCACATTTGTGGTGCAGCTCAGGATTCTCAAATTCTTTCTACTCCTGTGTGCAGTTACTCCCCTCTTTCCCAAGTCCTTCCTTTGATTTCCTTTTCTAGAGGGTCTCTCTGTATAAAATTAAGTCATTATCTGGCTCACAGATTTTTGGAGGATTACTTTAGGTGTGAGCAAGCAAGAGGCAGATTTTTTTGTGGGTTGTAGATTTCTTGCTGCTGTATTTTAAAATGCTCAGGATGAGTAAAATGTCCTCAGCTTAGGAGGATTCTGCATGAAGCTGCCTGAGTATGAAATGGTGTTAACAGGCCAGAACTGAGGGGGAAATAGATGTAAATGCCTGTGATGTTTCAGATACAAACTTCCAACCTCATTAATCCTGAGGAGGGTAAAAAATAAAATTAAAAAAATATTAGGAAATTTGACTTAACATTTAGATCTTTCCAGATTCATCTGTCATATTTAACATGATCTGACGTGTGGCTGGCCGGGTGTTTCTGCTCAGTGAAACTTGTTTCCCCTGTGGCTTGCAGGAGCTTGCCAGTGGCACGGAAAGGGGCAGTTTCCAGTGCACTGTACATGGCCTGGCTGGAGGTGCTCTCTAAGGACCTGCCACCCATCCTCCTGGTTCGTGGCAATCACCAGAGTGTCCTCACCTTCTACTCCTAAGAGTGCTGCCCATGGCCCAGCTGGGAGGGGATGGTACTGCAGTGCCCAGGGGAGAGTGGCTGCCTCAGCTCATCAACATCACCGAGGCAAAAAGTGACTCTTCTTTCACTGTTTCACTGACTTGAAAGCACACAAGGAAAAGTCACTGTATTTCTAAAAGTTGTGACATCTTCAGTTTTATTCTATATTTTCTGTAATTTAATCTTGCTTAGTGGGGGAGGATTCCTTGTTAGACTGAAGAACAAGACGAGCTTTTTGTTTGCTATTTGAATAGCAGCAATAAAATGTTGTATTTTTGATCAATGAAAGGATTATAGATTTATAAAAGCCTTTTAGCCTTGAGGTGCCTTCTGAAATTAACCAAATCTCACCCATACATCCTATTTTGTAAATTTATATAGAATGTCAAAATCTGCCTTCAACTAAGAGTTTCGATCAGACTTCCTTTAGTTTTTAGTCTATTCCATATTACAATAAAAATGAATGCTGCTTTTCAGTCTTCCATTGAGCTATTAGTTCTTAGTACTGTATGTTTTCTATCATCAGAAAGTTTTTTGGTTTTTTTTGTTTTTTGGTTTTGGTTTGTTTTGTTTTGTTTTTTTTTAATTATTATATCTGTTAGATTTAAAGGTGAGAATTGGGGCAGGTCAGTTGAACTAAAGTGAATCCCTGATGTTACTGCCACTAAGTTTTGTAACAGTTAAAATAAAACTAATTCTGCTTGTAGAGAGGGTCCTTTTTTTCTCAGATTTGACAGTGTGTACTCCTTTGGCAGTAGTCTGAGACAGAGCTGATTTTATCTACCTTGGCAGAGGGCAGTATCCTCCTAGTCTTAGCTCTGCTGTGAAATCAAGCTCATCTTTGCTGGCTGAGGCTTCCCATCTTAATGCAAATTGGAAGACAATAAAAAGACCTGTCCTAGTTCTTGGCCTCTTACGTTTTAGTGTCACTTTCAAACTTATTTTTGAAACAAAACTCGACTTAAGGCTTGAATGGGGATAATATAAGCAATGTGATGCTATCTAACAGAAAACAGTAAACACTATGTGGAGTTGTGCTATCCAGTATGAAATGTAAAAGCTGCAGTTCTCTCGCATTTTTCAACAAATGGTTAAACGGACCACTAAGTTCTTGGGGGAGATGTTTTTAGGTCAATTCATTCAGTTGTCAGAAAATGAATTTAGTCTTATTAAATAATACTCAGGTTTTATCGTCTAGCAATTTCGATCTATTCCATACATCCTACTTTTTACATTTTTCTATGTTCAATAAAGAAACTGCCAGTCTTGTGTGCCCTTTCATTGTATATTTTGGAAACTTCATGATTTAGTCTACCGCAAACACCTGCAAAAGAAATTTCACTTGAGCCTTTGTATAAAGGTTGGTAATGTGAACTGTTTTTTAAATTCCTAATATTTTTTTGGATAGAAAGGATTGCCTAAAAACATTTCACAAGCTTTTGATACTAGCATTGGACATGCTACTGGATCAGTTTACCAGTGGGTGAGTGACTTTCATTTAAGGATGCACAGAAAAGGTTTTTTGGTTGGTTTGGGGTTTTTTTTGCCTTTTTTTTTTTTTTTTTTTGTTCATTTGTTTGGTTTGAGTTAGTTTTTTGTTTTTTGGTTTGTTTTTGTTTTTTTTGGCTAAATACAGGATCAAATTGAAATGTAACTGTTCCTTTTGAAGGACAAAGTATAATCATTGCGTGGCAAGGTAGAGCTTCAACTTCTTGTGATTAAAGATAAAAATACACTGTACAGTGTACACTGTTGTCAGGCTCTTGGTAAACTGCTAAAAATCCTTCTTTTCTTTTTGCTCTCTTTTTTTTTTTTTTAAATATTTTTGTCGTTTCTGTCCATTGGATTCGAGACTATGGAATCATTTCACTTTTTTCAAAACTTCTAAAGAAAAACAAACATGCATGTCTTGCTGCTAAGTGTGAGATAACTGATGCCAGCATGAACCCAGCTTGTTGTGATAAAACATTGTAAGACAGGACAGACAGCGTGGGGTCAGAGTGATGCTTCCTTCCAGGTGAGGGGATGTGGATCAAACTTACCAACATAAAATGTCACAGGTTTTACAGTGTTTTGTAGGGGATAAGGTGGTCACATTGTGCATATGGAATCATTGCCACGTTTCTCCTTGTTTTTGTGGGTAGCATTCTTTTGAGCAGGTGGACGGTGTGGCATGGACTTAGTGCTGCTATCTTAAAAAAAAAAAAAATACAAAAACAAAACGTGCACAGGTACACTTATTTAAAAAAAGGTTTATTTGCCCATTCAGGAAACCATTGCTTGTGATCTGTAAACACAACACAGAAACCAAATGAGGTGTGTGTCTACATGCATATATGTGTATAAAATTATATAAAGTATATCTAAATATGCATAATGGGGATAGTTAAGGTCATGTCTGTGAAATACCATAGGATGCTTTTTCACATGCACTCTCAGGAGTCCACTAATGCTAGGGATGAGGGCAAGTTCCAAGATTATTTGCTCACCTTAATTTGAAGAGTTAATGGTAATTGTCTGCAACAGATGTCAGTTCGTGGCAGTCACTCCAACTCCTGCTTTGATTTCGAAGCCAAATTTACTTAGGTTCCAATCATCATTAATTAAGTGGAAAATTAAATCACTTACACATGGCAATTCATACCTTCTTATAGATTAGGTTCCTTCGTATGGGTTTAGAAAGACAATAATAGCTGGTGAAAATCAATTATTTATTTGTTCACTTGTGTTTAGGTTTCCTTTTACATACATTCTTTTTATATGCTTTTTTTTCTGACATTGCATATTTAAAAAAAAAAAACTAAAAATAATTTAAAAGATTTGAGCGTTAGTGGGTCGTGGCCCACTTGGTTTGAGGATGTAAGATTTGACACTGTACTGTAACTGTCCCACACAAATGCTTTTCTAATGTTTTAACGTAATTATTGCAGTTAATACTTTGTACCAGGGGGATGTCACTGCAATAAAAGAAGTGAATTCAATACAACTGTCTTGTCTAACAAAGCTTTTTTTTTTTCTTCTTTTCTTTTTTTTTTTTTTTTTAATGGGCTGGGAATAATGTTCATAATTTGACAGGTTGATGCTGAATTTGGTTCCTGACATGAATATTCTTCTTGCTTCCATCTAAAAATTATCTTTGTAGTGGAATTTGCACAGGACCAGTGGAGCTTAAAGCAGCTCATGTGACCAAAGGTCATTTGACCAAAACCATGTTTTTTTTTGGGGAGGAGTGTTTGCCTCTCATAGGTCTAGGAGAAAACGAGAAATTAACCTTGTAAAATTGTAAAATCTTGTAAAATTTGCCATGGCTTGGCAGACAGCACAGACCCATCCTCAGCCCCTGGTGTGTCTCAGCTGCGTTGGTGGTACCTGAAAATCTGCTCCAATTCATTTTGCCCCTGAATACACACAAGGACTCTCCTTAACTCCTCTTTCTCCCATTAAAATAAAAGTCCACTGGGACATGGAGTGTGTTGGGAAAAGAGCTTCTCAGATTGTTGCAAAGTTGCTTTGTAAGCAAGACATGTTTGTCCCTAACTTCAGTACACGCCACTAAGAAGCACTGAACATTTGAAGTTTAAAAGCATAAAGAAGGGGCGAGTTCTGTTGTTGAAATCCCACAGAACACTGAAAAACTTGATAATCTCACCAGTTTTGGTGTTTGGTCTCTGCTACAGTCAGAGCTGTTCTGCATATCCATTGTCAGTCGTGTTTAAACCTCAGGAGTGAGGTTTGGGGGCCACGGGGAAGGGAAAGCTTGTTAAAAACGCCCTGCCAGCTCCCATGGCATTGGCTCCACCCTGGTTTATTCTGTGAGGAGGCTGGGAAGGTTTGTAGCAGCTTTTTCTACACCCTCCTGTTTGCTTGGAGCAGTGTGAAGAAGTGGATCTGAACGATGGCATTGCCTTGTGCTGAATCCATACCTTAGTGGCCTCAAGCATGCGTCGGAAGGTAAAAAATGAGGATTTGATCAAGGTCAACCCCATCAGTTTGCAGAAGAGTCAAGGCTCACACTGCAGAGATTGAGTGCTGTGATTTTGGTTTAAAACAGGGAAGCAGCACACCCCTCCCTCTGGTGCTTGTTCTTCACCAGCCTCATTAAAGCCCTCACACAGCCCCTCTGGATCCCAAGGCCTGGTTTGTGTTCAGCCTCAGGCCCGTGCAGCCCCACGGGCAGCAAGAGGAGCGCCTCAAATCCTCCTGCTGTTCTGCCTTTGGGTGCTGCAGAGCAGCTTTCCAGGGTTCACTCTGACTAAAGGCTGATGGAGAGGCTGTTCCCTGTGGTTTTAGGACAGGAGAGCTGATCCAAACCTTTCAGGGTTAACATGGAAGGAGAAAATGGTGAAGCAGCAGCAGGGAAGATGTTTCATTCTCCAGACAGCCCCAGGGAAGATGGAAGATGTTTTCCTTGAAGTACAGGAGATTTCCTACACCCAGAGGAGCATCTGGTGCTGACAGACTGTGCTCCATCCTTGGGGCTGCTCTGGACTCGCTGCCAGCTGCACCAGCAGAAGTCACCAAGGGAGCCTGTGCTGGCTCTTACACCCCTGTCCTTACTGATGTGAGAGCAATTCCTTTGTCTCTCCTGTGATCTGCCTGCTGTCTCTCCAGAAAACATTGGCTTTCCATCCCCAGGAGCCCTCTCTGACCCTGCCTGCACCCCCAGCTTTAACTGCACCTCACAGCACAACAGGGGACAGGGAACCCCTCAGGATTTAAACTGTCAGGCCGTGCTAAATTAAACTTTTCAACACATCTTCCCCTAAAGAGCTCTCAGTCGTGAGCCAATCTACAGAGGGAAAACGGGGAAGGCCTGCAGGGAAATGTCAGCCTGCTCTGCCTTGGTGATAGTGGTGTAAAAACAAAAGTAAAGCAGCCTGTCCCGTGCCCTCGCAGCCCTCTCACCCCTGCTGACAGCAATTAAAGGCAGTAGCCCCTGGCTCTGAGAGACTTTCCTCACAATCCTGTTCCCTGGGATCTGGGGAAAACTGACCCTGCTGAGCTGCAGCCAAAGAAAATTCCAGTGTGAGGTTTTCCATGTCCAGGTGCATCCCCTGGCAACCCCTCAGATCCATGCACAGTGATAAGAAAACTCCTGCTATCAGAACATCGTTTTTAGTGAGGGAAATCCTATTCCTGTACAGTTTCCAGGAGTTCCAACTAAAATCCTATCACCAGGTGGCACCACCTGCCTTTCAGCATTTCATGTAAACCCTGAAGCTGCTCTGTCAAACGCACTCTTCCTGCCCTGTTCCACTGGATTCATTCTTTAAACAACTTAATACTTTGAATTAACAACAAATATCAGCATAATAACGTCGTTTTCCAAATTTTTTTTTTTTCATTTTGACTGGATTGGTGAAGAGTTTAATATTAATTCTGCCAGGCCCTGTGGGGAAAAATACTGTGGTTTTGCTCCTGAGAGATTGAGGAGCCTTCAAGCAGAAGCTGCCTGATGAGCTCAAGCAGCCTTTTTACCAAC